CTACTTTACTGACCAAACATACATTAAAAATTACTACTTTACTGACCAAACATACATTACAAATTACTACTTTACTAGCCAAACACACATTAAAAATTACTACTTTACTGGCCAAACATACATTAAAAATTACTACTTTACTGGCCAAACATACATTAAAAATTACTACTTTACTGGCCAAACATACATTAAAAATTACTACTTTACTGGCCAAACACATACTAGGTTTACACATCACAAAAGTAGTACATGCAGAAATGGAAAGAACCACTACACTATTTGATGGTTAAGAATTTTAACTTTTGTTTAGTCCTTAAAATTTTATATTAAACATGTTAAAAATAGGAAGGCTGCATTGTTCCACTTATGCAAATAATTCATATGTTAGCATACAGTTTTGATAACATTTGACCAGCAATGCAAGTCAAATCATAATTCTACTTCTTTCAGCCAGAATCTCTAAAATTTTTAGGTCTAAATTTTTGTGTAGAAAATTAATGACAGATAAAAAACCTAATAGTGATTTGAGGGAACATTTATAAATCTCACATAATTTAATAGATGTTTGCTAAAAGTACTAAATTGGACAGTTGTGTGTATCACTTAGATTTTAACAAGATACTTGGGGGTTTTGCAAACAAAAAATAGTTGCCTAAAAATGTCTTCATTACAAGTGATGTAGCTGGGATATGAAGTCATTATAGGTGATGTAGCTGGGATATGAAGTCATTACAGGTGATGTAGCTGGGATATGAAGTCATTACAGGTGATATAGCTGGAATATGAAGTCATTACAGGTGATGTAGCTGGGATATGAAGTCATTAAAGGTGATGTACCTGGGATATGAAGTCATTGGAGGTTAGTTACCTGGAATATGAAGTCATTGGAGGTTAGTTACCTGGAATATGAAGTCATTGGAGGTTATTTACCTGGAATATGAAGTCATTACAGGTTATTTACCTGGAATATGAAGTCATTACATGTGATGTACCTGGGATATGAAGTTTTTTCAAAATTGGTCACACTGTATAATTTCTCTGCTATATTTTCCAAGGCTTGATTTTGAACGTGTAAAAACAAAAAAAATGCTTTACTTTAAATAGATTAATAGTAACTTCTTTACTTAGATTGTTTTATACATGACCATTAGTTAATAATTATATATATTGTCATTTTACTGTAGTATGTACATAAAATAATCATTTAATTATACATACTATCATATCATTGCAGTAAATAAATTAATCACTATACAAACTTCCATCTCACTGCAGTTTGTACTCTGATTAACCATTACACATACCGTCATTTCACTGCAGGATGTATATTAATGTAGCCTAACCAATAACCCATACAATGACATTATAACCTCCTTAGACTTTGTCAGGTTTTGTGTATGTATGGGCCGGATTCTTTACAGTAGATGTCTGCGACTTGTTTGGCAATAAATTTCAACAATAAACAAACAGCACACAATTCACTTGTTTAAATTAATATATTAAAACAAGTCAAACATATATATAAATGTTCATTACACTGTTGGTTATCACACTTATATCCAGATCTTTTAATAATTGTCTCTTTTATGTCAAGGTCCACACAGGTTGGTTCAGTTACTTTAGAACACAATTTGACAAGATGAATTATTCTTCCTGCTCTGTTATTACAATACAGTGTGTGATAATTTTACTTTAAGAATAACCACTATATACTCTTTATGGCTAAACTCACAATCATCCACTCTAGGTCTATCTATCTAACAACTTTTTATATAACGAACTCAAACTACATTTTGGGCATGTACTTATAGCCTAAAAGAGGCCTAGAACATTCCACAACTACAAGATATTATGATGCAATAAAATTCAATTAAAACAATGAAAAAAACTCAGAAGATTCTTGTCACATGATGCAATAATATAACAAGCACTAATTCATAACTATTGAACTACACAATGTATGATTTGTAAACAGTTATGCAAATAAACCTGTAATAAACTATCACTACTAAAAATAACTAAATTTAACACTCGTGGTACATAAACTATCTAAATCATAACACTTCCATTAAATTTAGCTGAAACAGTTATGTATATCTGACAGACTTCAATATTTCTGTAGATACAACCTCAAACCCTATTTGCCCTGCTACTAGCAACAGCATATTGCTTGGATGGCTTAAAAGTCTGATTAACTAGAACACCAAGATCTTTTTTCTTCCATAACGCTGTTACAGTTATTCCCATCAAAACTATACTCATATTTCAGATTGTGATGTCCCACATACATTACATTGAATTTGTTATAATTAAAAGCGATCTGCTATATATTCACCTAAATCACCAAATAATTCACAAATTCATTTGTAAGGCAATGGCATCCTCCTCACAGCCAGCAACACCCAAAATTATGATGTAATCAGCAAACTGAAATGATCTATTGACCATTTCATCATCTACGTCATTGATGTAAATCATAAAGAACAAAGATCCTAACACTGAGCCTTGGGGTACCCTACTCAATACATTAATCCAATTTGACTGAATCCCATTTATGACAACCCTCTGCTTCCTTCCATGAAGCCAGTTTTCTATCCAGTGAGTCAACCTGTCCCCCACACTTACAGAGATAACGTTTTTAATAAGCCATTTATGTGACACCTTGTCCCTATACATCTAGTACCTTCACTGGTATTAGTGTTACTAAGTCAGCTAAAAATATAATACATATATTCAACATTAAAACTTTTTATAAGTGGCATCACTTTGTTAAGTAAAACTTTATAAAATAATTGAACAATCTGTATAATCCCAGAGTCAGTAAACTCTATACGTAGGGATGCCCAAGGTACTCAGTAGGCATAATACACATATGCATGCTAAAAAATCAATAATGACAGAAAGTTTTACTTTAAAAGATGATTGACACTCACTTTCATTTGTTTCTCTACTCAACAAAACCATCACTAAGATACCAAACCAGAAAGTGACCAACCCACCAAATTGTTCATCTTTCTTCTTCTTGTTTCAGTCGAGATAACTATACAAATACTTTATCACTAATGTCAGTTTAAACCTAAATCATTATGTTATCATTACCCCTAGATGGTAATTTTCTCACAGAAAGCTGGTATTCCTTTACAAAGCTTAAGTACAGAGTAAAACAGGAATTACCAGCCAACAACAGATGAACATTAGATGACTATAACATGTAGAATACTCATTGCATTATACACTAAACAATCAGTGTCTTTAGGGAGCCAAACCCTATATTATATACGAAGTAAAGGAGTAAAAAAAAATCAATACACATTCATAGAATACACTAAATTTCAGTCAGGGGAAAAAAAAATCACAAACACATTTTGTAAGTGTAAAATGATATAAGTATGGCAGTACCAAAAAGAATGCAAACAAGAATATATGGATGATACAGCTAAACATATATCATCCCTATATGAATTTCAATATTAAAATTTAATGTTACACTGTAAAATGCATGAGTACAAAATGATCAAATTGACCAACCTCGTAGCTGGAGTCTGTAATAATCAAGACATGTTTTGACTCAACTTGGTTTTTCTTGTACATAAGTCCCAGGCTCTTAGTTACACATGACCATGATATTATGATAAACAAACTGCATACCAACAGTCAAGAATATATAACTTCCAATTGCAGTAATATTAGAATCAAATATGCATTTTACAGTGTAACATTAAATTTTAATATTGAAAGTCATGTGGGGGTGATCTATGTATACCAGCCCCATATTCTTGTTTGCATTCTTTTTGGCACTGCCATCTCTACAACTAAAATTCAAACAGCTTTATTGTGCAACTGTGTACTGGATATTTTGCAGTTTGTTATAGATTTTGTTGCGTGATGTTATATTAACATACTACTGGATTTTTTTTTCATCTATTAAAAGAAACAACATCTATGGAAAATATACATTCAGTCAGTTAAAAAATAACAAAAAGTCACATTTGAACTCTCCATAAACCCGCAAATAACAAAAATGTCCACGATTTTATATGAAATAAAACCTATGATTTTTTTTTTTTTTGACTTTATAGCTTCACCAGTTAGCTTCAATGACATATACCTTCTCTCACCATCGCTTTATCAAGTTTCCAATTTTCTATTATTGTCCATCTCTAAACCACTTCAATAATCAGCCACATAGAAAACTGTTCCATAATTCTTACTTTCTGAGCACAGAACAACGGGAGTACAGAGTCCACATTTGTAACGAACAGCCATGCTCATAATTAGATAGTATCTAAATAAATGAAAGAACATATAAATAATCTTTATATAATATATTTTATTTGTGATTCTTTTAATGATACAAGCAAAAAATTATTTGTTTGTCTGTATGTCAGTTAAAAGGAAAATTATGAGGTTTATAACCATTACGAAGATGCGTGTTTCTAAAAAAGAAAACAGAATTTAAGTGAAATCACTGGAAACTGCTACAATTTAAAATGCCTAAAACAACTTTTTAACTGATATTTTTCTACCATGCAGACATGTGTTATGAATTATGATAGTGGTGCACAATAGGGACTGCACAAGAATTTGCTCAACACTCTACTAGAACATTTGGACAAAAAACACCTTAAAAAGCAACTTATTCATGAAACAACACTCAAAACCTTCCTTTCCAATAGTTAACACCATCCAAACATTGATATTAGGCAAAATAAGTGATTCCACAATTGTAGACAAAATCAAGGTTTGCCCATTTGTTCATATTATTATTGTTACGTCTCTGTTCGTTAGTTAATTTTCCGTATAATTTCTTTCCGAAGAAACTTTAGCGATACAAGTCCTTTCTTAAATAAAACTGGTTTATTCTTTCTGAATACAACTTTGCAATACACTTAATTTCCACAGTCGCGCTATAACAAAGGCTATAATTCACAACGAACGTCTCACGTGTTCGACTCAAGAATACTCTCTTTCTGTCCGCAGTTCAATTACACACTGTTGCCGTCACGTCTTGACCGTCTTATATGTACAAGAATACCGAATCTAGTAAGCTCTCGAGAAGTCAGGAAGGGATGTGAACATTCGAGAAGTGCATGATGAGTTACTAGCGTCACGTGACCTCCACTGTCGTAACATTATTAGTATTGTTTCAAAGCCTACAGTAAAATTGGCTAGGTATATTGCACCAAAAACCTACAAATGTCTATGACCTATTTAAAAGTTCATAATTTTTCACTGAAAGTTGATTTACATGATTATTAGTAAATAATAAATACAATGTTGTTTTGAGTGGCTTTTATATTCCATGCATGTTAAATGTGTGTTTACACAAAGCCACCTGGCTCACTATACAATTACTTTAAAAGACACAAAGCTTTATTTAAAGCAATGTTTTAAACATATTTGTTTTATGTGAAAAAAAAAAGAGAGTTAAAATGCTATATATGCTTAGTGGGGGTTGTGTCTTACCCGAGGCATATATTTGCCCATTGCTATGCATTAATAAAGCTAACATACAAGATATTTAAAAATTGAGAATTTAAAATCTACAAATAGGGATCACAAAAAGTAAGCAAACAAAGCTAGAGTTCTACTGCTGACAGTTTGATCAAGCTACAAATCTCTATTATGACTGCAATATAAAATTATTGTGAGGGATAATGGCTGTAGTGTGAGATTGCACAGGAATTGGAAGAGTAGTTTTAAACTTAATTCAACCTCCTTAATTTTGTCCTTCACTTTCCACTATCAAAAAACCGGTGTTTTCCTAGCATGCACATTAGTTGGAAACTACAACTCCTGCATTTTCCACCACATTAATTTGAAACTGCCGATTTTGTTGCCTATTGTTATTTAAGTCATTATTGTTCATCTTTACTCAAGATTGCTGTCTCAACATGGGTTTCCATGACTATATTTTAACAAGTTTTAACAGCGGACGATTACCATAGTAGATTTTCCTACTCAGATGATGTTGGTAATTCTTTCTACTGTTTCTTATACTTAACTGAAATCATGAGTGTTGTGTATTCAGTATTTATTACCACTGCATATAGCACTATTTTATACAGCTATTTGTATTTTTAAATAGTTGGTGTTAAGGTAGCGGTTGTAAATGTTGTCATAATTGGTGATTTATGCTAAGTGTGTCATTGTTGTCTATTTTGCAGGCATTATTTGTATTGCCTATTTTGACTCCACTAAAATCGATAAGTACTATAGACATGGAGTCAAAATAGGGATTTGTAGCTTGAGAAAATAATGTAGACACTATTTCAAGCTTTGTTTGTTTACCTTTTTTTAGAGTCCCTAGTTGTAGGCTTGAAAATATAATCTTTGCATTTTGATTCAACTTGTTTCTGTACTTTTTTGAGGATCCCTATAAAAAAGAAAACCGAGGTGAAATAAATTCCTAATTTATTGATTGTTTGTGTTACATCACAATAAGACATTATAATGTTAATTGCATCTTTCTTTACACCCGATACAAGTTTCAACCATGCACCATGTGCTGCACGCCGCTGTCGAGGTTCTTCGCCATCAAATTCATTTCTACGCACTATATACGGATATGTGAAAACGTAAAATATTTATTTATTTATTATTTTTTGTAAAAACACCTAATAACCTTACAATATTTTAGGCCAATGTGTTTTATAGGTAAAACGCCTCATAACCTTACAATATTTTAGGCCATTTCATAACCTCACAATATTTTAGGCCAATGTGTTTCATAGGTAAAACACCTCATAACCTTACAATATTTTAGGCCAATGTGTTTTATAGGTAAAACACCTAATAACCTTACAATATTTTAGGCCAATGTGTTTCATAGGTAAAACACCTCATAACCTTACAATATTTTAGGCCAATGTGTTTCATAGGTAAAACACCTCATAACCTTACAATATTTTAGGCCATTGTGTTTTATAGGTAAAACGCCTCATAACCTTACAATATTTTGGGCCATTGTGTTTTATAGGTAAAACACCTCATAACCTTACAATATTTTAGGCCAATTGTGTTTTATAGGTAAAACACCTCATAACCTTACAATATTTTAGGCCAATGTGTTTTATAGGTAAAACACCTCATAACCTTACAATATTTTAGGCCATTGTGTGTTTTATATAGACAATTCGAAATCATTTGTTTGGTAGTTTTCGCTTCGTCGACTTCAGCAATTTGTTGGCCAAACATACCAAAATATGGCCAGTCTTTAATCTTTGTTCTAAAAGTTGTGCGTAACAGACAGAAGACTAAACAAAATCAAGAAAAAGAAAAATGCATTTGCTTTCATAAATTTGATTAAGACACACTGTGTGTTATTAACAGGAGTAATAGTTTAGCGGTTTTCCATCTTTTGTATCTCGGACTGTGGTAATCCAAACTATCAGGTTATCAGTGAATGTACTCTACTGGACACTTTCTTCACATACCAAATTTCAAGGCAATCCATTCAGAAATACCCGAGATATAACATCTACAATTTTGAATAAGTTTCTTCCTTTTTTTCTTCTTCGTACCAAAAGTACAAAAACTTTATTTGATAGAAAAACACACTACTTTTTATGATATTTTTCATATTTGGTATACTGATAGATGTTTACAATTTGGTGTAAATATAAGCCACGTGTGAAAAATTATTCAACAAAAACCGCTCAAATTTAACACAAAGTTTTGTGCACGTCTACACAAAAAGTCACGTGAGCTATCGTCCAATATTTTTACTACGGCTTCACCTAATACCCGTATGATTGTTTTGAAAACTTGAGCTAGAAACCGCTAATCTAGATTTTTGGCCTAACCAATATTAAAGTCTGTTTACTTTATAGTTTTGCTGCTCTAAATCAACCGTCTTTAATCCGAATGACAAAAAAACAACAACTAAAAACGATCAACTTTTACGGAAAGGTGGGAATGAATAATCAATAATAACCACCCAATCAACTCTTTCTGGCTACGCCACTCACTGGTTTGCGATATCTGAGCAAAAACACCTCAAGTGTGACAAAAAAGTGCGGTCAAAAAAGGATTGAGTGTGCGACTTAAAGGAATGAAATCAAAATTGGCGGCCAGACTAGTAGCTACACTTTACTTTTACAGTAAATATTCATTCATTAGTTAGCCAGGCCGCGTTTTTTACTCAGCTTTGGGCATGATAATCAACCAGATTCTTCAAAATATGTGGTGGTAGTTTTTCCTCTCTAAAAATAAGTGTTAATAAGTTCCTATATACTAATGCCATGGAATTTAGATTAACAGTTTCTTGTCATCACCCCCATACAATCGGTGCAGCCGTACCAAGTATCATTATTTGTGCTAATTGCTTAAGCTAATATCACGTGACGTTAAATGCTATTTAATTAAGATAATTTAAATAAAATTTAGTAAATTTGTGTTTTATATATATGGAAAAAATTACCTTGTATGTCCATATTTTGGAATCTACCAATTACAAAATTTGAGAATTTGTGCCAAAGACTAAATGTAATTACAGTTAATCTTACCATCTCTAATTGTGACAGCTCTCTTTAGATTTTTCCGAAATTATTTAATAACAATACTGAAAGAAGTGAAAGCAGGATATGATATTTATATTTTCAATTGAAAATCTTTCTTGGCTTCAAATTTTACAACTTTGTATTACTAAAGCATGCCACTAAAAATTATGTGGCTAAATTCACCATTGAATTTATTTATCTCGGCGCGAGAGGGGGTAATGGTGTGGATTCTGTCGTATGTGTGTGGGGGGGGGGCACAAGCATTTCATAACTCGTCATTCCGAGTTTATTATAATACAACACTTCCTTGCTATTTATAGTAATTTTGCTTATATTTTTGTTTATTCATTAAAAAAAGATTTAATAGGTTTGCATACCACATACTGGACTGCCCCAGAAAATCACTTCAGAAGATCAAGTATACAGTAGGTTTGAAGTAAAACTGATTTGAATAGCAAAGTAACCGAGAAACAAAATACTAAAAAGAATCAAATCACCACCTGGCTCTTTAGACACCATTTTTCAGCCTAGCCCCTTAGATTCCTATCATGAACCTCAATACTGGTTTATAATAGGGATTTTCCTGGAATTTTCCAAAAATTTTAATACAACATATGGGCAAAAAAAAACATCTTAAAAAGCAGACTTGCCTCCAGAGTCCATGTCTGTAGTACTTATCAATTTTAGTGGAATCAAAATAGGGATTTGTAGCTTGAGAAAATAATGTAGACACTATTTCAAGCCTTGTTTGTTTACATTTTTAGAGTCCCTAGTTGTAGGCTTGAAAATATAATATTTACATTTTGATTCAACTAGTTTCTGTATTTTTGACGATCCCTATTCCCCTTTTTCAGTTAAGTATTTTTAATGATATTGTGTGAAAAGTTTCCATCTTAATTTTAGAAAAACCAATGGCCTATCTAGCCTTTTTTTACACTTATAATAATCTTAGCTTTTTTCTCACCTAGTTTAATCTTTAAATATGAGGTTTAGCAAGTTTCGAAAATTATCTTTTGCTATATTCGGTGAGAAAACGCAAATGTCTCTTAGTGATATAAAACATAACAGAACTTTTATTACAGTTAAAGCACCCACCACCAGCACTCGGTCGATTACTCTGGCTATGCCAGTACCATCAAATAACTAATTCCCCATGTTTGTTTATAGCCTGTCTTTTTTTTCTCTCTCTCTCTCATATATTTGACAAATGCTTTACTGTAAATTAGCCTAAGTGGATTATTAATTTGACAATACTGTGCTTTTGAATACTACTATGTATCAAAATTATAAAGCAACGCCGTGAAGCATAGTTTATAATTCCACACAAAGCTTATCTTAGTAAATCACCCTTTGTAATGTATTTTCCCAGTTTTGACTTCAACGTATTATCTAGTTCTTCTCCAACCAGACCCAACTGAATTTGTTTTTATTGAACTATCAACTTCTCTAGCCCTCGCTTCATCATGCTGCTCAATAACCTCTGTCATTGAAAAAAAAATATTCCACATTTCAATGATTTTTTTTGCGTGAGAAATCCAAGCCATTCTGAAAGTTCAAGAAACGTATTAACCAGATTCTGATTGGTCATAAATTGCGCAGTTATACACAAAATGTCGAAGCATAACATGTAGTTTTATTATTATTATACAAAAGCTGTACTATGGGCGTTTTATTTTTGAGCGTGTTATTGGAACGGTAATGTAAGCAATGAAATATACCCTTCTCCTCAACTTTCTCCCCAATCTCGTGAACCCTGGGCAAATCAAAAACACCAAATTTGTAAAAAGCGTCTGTGAAGAATAGTGAGTCAGATTTAAAACCATTCATTTTGTCGAATTTTCCCCCAGAATCTCTACTGCACGTGCACGTATACATCCTTTTCCATTAATATTTAAGCAAGCCAAAGGCACAGACAGACAGGTCTGTGGTCGAATAATGTTGGTGCGATTCCAATGTCTTCCACCATCTTTCTCGTGGAAAACAGCTGTTAGTTTATAAGTAAGGCCAAAAGCTTCAATCTTTTATGCTTGTGACGTTTCGTCGATTTCAAGTCCTTATTTCTCGTCTTCTTAATTATAACACGAGATATAACCAGCTTTAGGGCAATGGCTTTTTTTTTTTAAGGTTCATTACTTTGTAACGCCACCACGGCTAAAAGGGCGAACATGATAGTAGCAATATTCGAACTTACGATCTGCAGATTGTCAGTCGAATACCCTAACTACCAGGCCATGCCAGATCTCTACGGAACAGATTGAAAACTGTCTCTCTTCTTTGAAACGTCGTGTTCTCTGGCGCAACATTGCTCAACAGTATCATCATCTCACTGTATGAATTTCTATATCAAAAATATTTTAATAATCCTTCAGACACATCTGCCCTGCAGTGTGCTATCGAATGGTCGATAGTTTGCCCTAAGCCAAATATATAAATATATATATATGTATGTGTGTGTGTGTGTGTGTGTGTGTGTGTGTTGAACATGCCACCTGTGGCACTGTCTTGCTTTTCTTTACACGCCTCTGTAGAAGAATATAGAATATTGTTCAAACAAACTGGGATTCATTTTATATACGAAATACAGCTTACTTCTCGTTTAAAGACATGCAAGCAATTATAATAAATTAATTTCTTCGATAAATCAATTTCATTTTACAATGTGATACGATGAAATTCTCAAGATTGCTCTAAGAAATAATGGTTTGGTTAATAATATAAGTGAAATATAAACGTATTCAGTGTCATAAAGTTTTGGATTACGATCACTTGACCTATGTAAAATCAAACTCGCCAAAATGCAAATGTTTATTAACTCTCATTATAGCACATGACGCTTCTCGTGTTGGCATTAGCAACAAAATGTATACACGTAAATCATATTTATACTCTTGAACCCACGCATTAACACTGATATTCACTAATCTAGGGCAATTAAGATTATGCTTCAATAACTGTATACAAGCTAACTCCCACCTTCTCGAAAACAAATACTACAACACAAAACAACCGACTCACTACAACCACCATACGTGTATATCTTACAATGTGTGTTTTTATCTAGGTTAATACTAAAATCTTAAGTTTCAACGACATCTGCTTTATTTATGGTGTTGTAATAAGATTAGTCTTTTTATCACTTGAAACCACCTTGTCCAAATTTACGTCTGTCTACAGATGTCTTCTTTCCAACAGAAAAAAAGGCAAGCATCTTCCCCCTAAGGTTTTTTTGCAGGTTTGAGGGTTTTATTTCTAGGTGATAACGTTTGGTGTCAAAACTCTAAGTAACTTTAAAATTCTATCATTTTAGACATACTTGGGAAATACAACCTGACTACTTTTACAGACATACTAAAATAATTTGTTTGTGTGCATGTTTGTTTATGTATATATATATATATTACAACTCTGTTTTATTGGCCATAACTCAACTGCTGGTGTAGCTTTAAACAAACCATACAAACATTTTGACATCACCAGTCATTTAAACATAATTATTTTGCTTCTCAGAATGCACAAAACAACCTTCTTTCAGAAGGGTGGGGGTGTGCTTCAAATCCCTCACTGGCTAGAAAATTTAGGTTTTATAGGTTTTCTTCTTAATTTACTTACAAACAACCAATTTTTCCAACCTCAACCACTCATAATATCATATTATTATTATTGATCAGAGTTGGACATTTTGTGGTATTTACTAATTGATTAATCAATGGGCCTATTAGATGATTAATACAATGTTCCTCAAGATATTGTAGATACAAAAAAAGACCAATCAGTTACCTTTCCTCTAGTCAGCAATTAAAAAAAAATTAGTCAACAGGAACTGCCAGCTAGTTGCCTTCCCTCTAATCAGCAGTTCAAAATTAGTGACACCAGCAGATAGCCTTAGTAGCTTTGACATAACAAAAGGTGAGCAAGTTTGGTGACAGAAGCAGATAGTCTTAATAGCTTTAACATAACAAAAGGTGAGCAAGTTTGGTGACAGAAGCAGATAGCCTTAGTAGCTTTGACATAACAAAAGGTGAGCAAGTTTGGTGACAGAAGCAGATAGCCTTAGTAGCTTTGACCTAACAAAAGGCGAGCAAGTTTGGTAACAGATCAGATAGCCTTAATAGCTTTGACATAACAAAAGGTGAGCAAGTTTGGTGACAGAAGCAGATAGCCTTAGTAGCTTTGACCTAACAAAAGTTGAGCAAGTTTGGTGACAGAAGCAGATAGCCTTAGTAGCTTTGACCTAACAAAATGTGAGCAAGTTTGGTGACAGAAGCAGATAGCCTTAGTAGCTTTGACCTAACAAAAGTGAGCAAGTTTGGTGACAGAAGCAGATAGCCTTAGTAGCTTTGACGTAACAAAAGGTGAGCATGTTTGGTGGAAATGGGATTCAAACTAAACATCCTTGAACGAACCATACAGCTCATTACGTAGATCTGTACTTAACAACACACAAACATAACAGCAGCATTTTGATTACTTCAATAATAGAAAACCCTAGATTCGACTAGTTGATTATTTTTATGACTACTGATCTAACCATAATTTTGGTTGATCGATTGTTGAAATAATCAAAACATTAATAACTGAAAACTCTAATTTTGAATAATCAATTTAATTGTAATTTAAGTTGATTGATGTAACTGCTGCTCACAAATAATTGATTATACTGACCAACCACCAAGCTCTGTTACTGAGACTAAGTAGATTTATGGTTTTTGAAAGAATACTTAATTTATATAATTTCCCCCCAAGCAGAACAAAATTTTCAATAAACTAAAGCAGCTTCAGAAACCTCAGATTTTGTGTTCTAAACAGAGACAGAGAAATAATTGAAGCTTGTGGATAAGAAATACAATTTTTGTCTCTATACTTCCCATAAATGTTTAGAATGAAAGCTGTTACAAGTGTAATTTAAGTAGGAATCAAAATTCTAATAAACTGGTGAAAACTTTCATTTTCATTTGAGAAATTCTGGACATATTCTAACAATAAATGATAATTTTTCCCTGATTTTGTAGCCCAGTTTTAGGCCTGCATCTGAAGGCCACTTTAAAAAGTTTAAAAATCCTTTAAAAAAACTGATATTTTCGACTTTGTGACAGGAGGTTATTAAGTAGAACTTCTTGGCCTGACATTATCACAACAAAGAACACCACCACATAGATACAAAACTGACACTGAAACTCCAGGATACCCTGAGATACCAAAGGCCATTATGCAGAAGTTGAAATCATGCACTTGTCTTGGCATAAAATGAAATAAAAGACTGTTTTGATCAGCCATAATACAGTTTAAAAACAGAATTATGACTGATTTTTGCACTTAATTAAAACACATGTTAACAGAATTGGTTGCAATGGAGAAATTACATGATGGTGACTTTGATCCAGAACCATCTGTTTAAGACATATCATAACAGAGGATGAATGGTTTTCTTAAAAAGATATTTTGCAGTTAAGCCCAAAAAATGATCACTGTCTAGCAAAAAATGTGTTAGATGTTGTTGTTATTATTGTTGGGGTTTTTATGGAGCAAAGCACTAGGGCTATCTGTGCCAATACACACAATGTGTTAGATGTTGTTGTTATTATTGTTGGGGTTTTTATGAAGCAAAGCACTAGGGCTATCTGTGCCAATACACATAATGTGTTAGATGTTGTTGTTATTATTATTGTTGTTGGGGTTTTTATGGAGCAAAACACTAGGGCTATCTGTGCCAATACACACAATGTGTTAGATATTTTTGTTATTATTATTGTTGTTGGGACTTTTATGGAGCAAAGCACTAGAGCTATCTGTGCCAATACACACAATGTGTTAGATGTTGTTGTTGTTATTATTATTGTTGTTGGGGTTTTTATGAAGCAAAGCACTAGGGCTATCTGTGCCAATACACACAATGTGTTAGATGTTGTTGGGACTTTTATGGAGCAAAGCACTAGGGCTATCTGTGCCAATACACACAATGTGTTAGAAGTGGTTAAAATTCTGAAATTGCCGACATTACAAATGCTGTTTACGAGTAGTCATCATGAGGTTTGTGCAGAATAAAAACTTACTGGGCCACTTGCATGATCCCACATAAAGAAATGACTGGTTCAATCAACCTTATACAAATTACAAACAAACTTGTAAACAGATAAGACGGTTCTTGAAGTTTATCAAAGAAAGATGCACCGACATAGTTTAGTTTATATAATTAAGATGGAAAAAAATTATTAAGCATTATAACCATTAAATACAACATTGTTCTATTTAATTTCATCTGACTATGGTGTGTTGATTGAATTACTTGACTCAAACTAATGACATGATTCCTTTTCTACTTAGAATTGTATAATATAGACACAAGCAAGAATATTATTTAACTACTTTGGTCACTGTATGAAATATATTTATGATTATAAAGATTACAAAATGTGTTCTGTGTTATAATCTCCATACAATATGGAATGTAGGGGGCTAGAGAAATGTTAGAAGGGATGAATCTTTTATATATATACCTCTTAATTTTGAATAGGTTCTGCCATAGATAACACAAGAAAAACACTTACAAATAATACAAAATAGTGGCAATGATAAAATATCAGATAGAAATGTTGTAAAGCACTTATATGACAGAGAATAAACAGCAGTAAAAATCAGGAATTAGGAACGACCTAAGGTTTTAACTAAAACACTGTGTTACGTCTCCGTTCCTTAATTAACTTTCCGTAACTTCGTTCCGACGAAACTTTAGCAACACAAATCCTTACTTAATAAAACTGGTTTATTCTTTCCGAATACAACTTTACGATACACTTATTTTCAACAATCACGCTAAAACAAATGCTATATCAACGAACGTCAACAATACTTCTGACTGCAGTTCAATTACTCACTATCTACACACACATATTATTCTGTCACCCTCTTTCATATACCAGACTACCCTATATCTAGTAAATACTAGAGCATTCGCCAAAGTACAGGATAGTTCTAGAAACGTGGCGTCACAGTAGTCATGTGACTCTCTGACACAACACTGCCCCCTCCTTAATATTGTTCGTCCCAAACAATAACTACATATAATAAACC